GTCTGAGCTGTTAAAATTTATTTGCTGAAAATGGAATTGACTGACATTTGGGTTTACTATTCGTTGGGGAATTCTTTTCTGGAACACACACGGCCACACACATTCATTCACGCACACAGACACACACTCAGTCTCGCACCAGCACCCACACACATACACACAATGAGAACAACTGGCTTAGTAGCACAGAGACATAAATGTTTATTAGCATTGGGCGAGTATTATGAGCATTCATACAAATACGTGAGGCGCGCCTCCCTCCAGGCGCCGCTCTAGGATATCTTTGTCTATCTCTGTATGTGTGTGTGTGTCTGGTGCCTGCTTTTAGATGCATTAACTACACGCACACAGAGACAGTGGCTTACACGCGCCTATCCGCATACGTGTAAGCGCATTAACACTGCGCATCAAATGTCTTAGAGCAAGTCAATTGCATTTTGCGTTACCGTTTGATTATTGGCTTTACATTCGAGCACTCACGCCCTGACCTTTGCCACAGCTCGGTCCTAATCAATGTTATTGAAATATTGACCTACCTCTGTCTCTCTCTATGTGTGTGTGTGTGTGTGTGTGTGTGTATCTGTGGGTAGGTGGATGTGGCCATAAGCCTCATTGAATCGAAATTTCGGCTTGTTAGTCGAGCAGCAGTCATTGTTCACATGTTGCCATTGTCGTTGCAACATTGTCGATAACATATCGATCACTAATCAACTGTGAAAGGCTTTGCTTTGATTTAATTTCCAATTAGTCTGCCATGCGATTCGACTCTTGTCAATTTGCATTTAGTTGTCAACGCAGCAGCATTACGAACCGAAAGGTGATTTATATATGCCGTTCCGAAACACTTTTCAGTTCCCTCCCCCCGATTGGATTTCCACTAAACATTTTACAATACATGCTAAATTGGCATTCGAAGACATAAAAGTGGATTTATAACTTTTAATTAAAAGCAAACCTGTTTCTCCGGCAACGCCCTGCTCTAACGCTTACACATGGGCCTGGTCGAGCTTCAGCTCTGATAATATTGAAAAGCATTTCCATGTTGCTCACAAGTAAATAATGCAAAAAGTCATGAGTAATTCAATAGGAAGGGCTCGGCTAGCAGATACCCTAAGCTACACATACATCTGTACATTGAGAGGGGCTTCAATTATATAGATTATAACATATTTATTGAATACTCTCGCTGTTTCTTGTCCTATATAAGGCATCGACTTGGGTAAAGTATCGAAATGGGAATCGATGGATGCCATAAAAAATATTTTTTTTGATAGCCTGATTGAATCATTTAGACTGTCAGCCCTAACAATAACTGGATAGAAGGATAATCTGGTCCAAGCCGGCATAGCTGAAGCATTTAGGAATATATCAGGGGTCAATTCAAATAGGTCATAATAATTTATTTATTTATTATTATTTTTTTTTTCAGGATAATAAACAAACTATTCGTATCCTTTATAGATATATTAGAGTTCATAAAATGAATAAATAATTTTTCTGAATAATCCTGTAGCACTGCACTTTTGTTGACCGTGTTTATAGTATATTCTCATCCAAGTCCATACTAAAAATACTCTGCAAGAATTATTATTATTTGTAATGTACAAACATACAATACAGGGAATATCTAGTTGTTAGGAAATAACATTTACAATCTCACTAATTTTTTCCGCTGTCGAGGGCAGAGCTTGAGCTGCACATGCCAAGTCCGCAGCTAAGCTGAAAGCGAATTGTGTTGTCTTCGTCTCAGTGGAATGCTAATTAGTTCTGTGTCGGGCTGGAATTAGCTTTCGACTCGTGGCGCGCGTAGATTTGCTCCACCGGCTGGGCTGATGCAACGCATCTGTCAGTTGATATTAAAAAGCAGCTTCTTTCACAATTTGGCCGGAAATTACAAAATTCTTGTTCCTTTCTTTGCACGTTTCGCACAGCCGTCGGACGCGAGGGACAGGAGGCGGGAAGTAGGCGGTGCGGCGATGCGAAGTGGAGCCTACGTCTGAACCTGAAAGGTGCCGCAAATGCAGTTGCTTGCGACAGTTTTTCTTTTCCTTTTTTTTTTTTTTTTTTGCCTTTTCCTTTACGCTGCTGTTGTTGTTCTGATTGTTTTCTTCTTCTTCGTCATCTTTTTTTTCGCATCGAAAACAAAAGGCTGCCTTATTAGAGTGTTCCTTTATTTTAATGCCACATTTCACACCATGTGGGGGCGGCGGTGGCTTAGTGGGCGGGCATTTTGAAGGAGCCTGCCATTGTGCGCGCTTCGTTCGCCTTTTTGTGTGTATTTCTGCAGTTGCCTCCGCGTCATTGTAGCAGTCACAGTGGTTCCTTTGTTTTAGCATAGATCTGTTGCCCCTGCACCCTTGCAACCGCCAGCCACCCCTCCCCGCTCCACCCTCCTGCTGCTTGTCAATGACCCAACCGAGAGCTAACTACTCCAGCTGAATGGCAATCGTAGGCGCGCTTTGTTGCTGCCTCTGCCGCACTCTGAATGCCAGCCTACCAAGCCAACCGGGAGCCGGGAAGTTACTAGTCTGTTGTTCTAACCCACTCGCGACTTCACTACTAACGCTATCAGTCGCAATTTTTCATTATTCGAACTCAGCACTGAGTGCCAGCGCAGACAGTGTAACCAGCATACATATACATATATGCATGTGTATATAGATATATTCAACTATATATATTTATATGTATTTGCAACTTTGTTCTCAATCAAACATTGACGTCGGGCTGCTGCTCTGAAAACGTGTCAACGCTGCATTTCACATTTCATCTCTGGGAACAACAGAATTTCCATGTTAGTTTTGCTTGACTAAAGTGAGCTGAAAGCTTAGCTTGATAGATGCTGCAGCCATGAGGAATAACAGAAAATTGTGTAGCAGCTATTGAGCTACTAAACTTAACCTAAATGCACTTAGATGTAAGCCGAGATAAGAGATGGCTCAGGACAAGAGATAGCTGCTTCTTGTCAATCCACTACAGAGCGTAATAACATTCGCATTTATGCAATTGCCAAAGCAAATGAAATCGCAGATTTTGTGGGAAATATGTGAAATATATGAAAATATAAATTATGGCATATAAAATACAGAATAAGTATATTTATTACATACTCGCAAGAGTATTCATTTATTTATAGACTCATTCGTTCATTCATTCACAGTACTCATTCATTCATTCATAGTAATTATTCATTCATTCATTTACTCATTTATAGTACTCTTTCATTCATTCAAACATAGTACTCATGCTTTCAATCATAGTACTCATTCATTCATTTATAGTATTCATTAATTTATAGTATTCATTCATTCATTATAGTATTCATTCATTCATTCAAGCATAGTACTCATTTATGCATTCATAGTATTCATTCATTCGTTCATATTATTCATTCATTCATTTATAGTATTCATTCATTCATTTATAGTATTGATTCATTCATCCATTCATAGTACTCATATATTCATAGCACTCATTTATTCATTATGAATGAATACTATTTCCAAAAATCTACTCGTAATGTAATGAATTTTCAGCACCTTTAATGTTTTGGTTGTTTCCATCTTTTAAGGTATTCAAAAAATCCAAGTAAAAATTTCGATTTTTATCAGCCAATTTACCCGTTGGCCATTCAGCAAAATCCGCTGCAAGCGAAGCGGTCGAAAATAAGGTGAAGACGCGCCACGGACAACACTTTGGACGTCCATCAAGTGGTTTGGCTTTTGATCAGATTTTTGTATTTGTATGCCCCGTGCGAGACGAGTGGCAGGACGTGGGCACTTTGAACGCCAAATTAAACAGAGCGTCAGTCCGTGAACTTCGGCGCTTCAACTAATGAGGGGGCAAGGCCGAAGCCGCACGCTAAGAAATTGATGGGCCGCAGACGGACAGACAGATGGAGACAGAGGAACAGCGTATCGACAGGGAGAGCGAGAGGGAGAGTGGGCGGGTGATGGCGAAGGCGAGGGCGAGCGCGAGAGGGGGAGAGAGAGGCGGCAGGACATCAACTAATTGAAATTGCGCGCCAATTTTGTGGCTTGTTGGCCGCATCCTTCGTCCTGCTGCGGCGTGCTTCGCGTTAGCCACGATAGCGTCTCGGCTCGCATCGGTTTCGGTTCGGCTCGCACTGCTCACGGGTCATGCGCAAGTCGCAGTTGAATTGTTTTGCCTGCATGGAACAGCTGTCGGACGGTTCGTGCGTTGTCGTTGGCCCTCGCATCGTCCTGTTCGTCCTGTTCGTCCCCTGCTCGGCTAATGCTGGCGCGTTGTTGCGTGTGTGCGTCTTAAATTCGCCAGCCAAAACATCAGCGAATGCAGTCTCTGTCGGTATTTGCAGCAGTGGGCAACGTATCGTTGTCGTCCTCATCGTTGTTGTCGTTGTTGTCGTAGTTGTCGTCGTTTTCGTTGTTGTCGTTGTCGTCGTTGTCGTTGTCGTTGTCGTCTCCCGACTGTCTGTGCGGCATGCATGCTGTCCGTGTGTGCGTGTGGAGCAGGTCCAAGCAACTGGCAGTGCAACTGGCTGCTTCAGTGACCCACAGAGCCGGGCAGCGACGATATCGTCGTGACTAGCGTTACGGTTGAAACGTGCTCTTCGCTATTTGCCAAATACTATCATATCTTTATCTTCTACCGCCATATATTTGTGAGTGTTTCCTTTGCCTGTTGTTTTTTTGCGTTCCTCTTCCTCTTCTTCTTGTTAGTTTTGTTTCTCACCGGGTTGCCGCATTCACGACCGCGTACCGCGTGCTTCTTGTTTGTTGTTTGTTGTGATTCCAAATTGCCTCCTCCAGCCCCGTGCACTGTTCCCACCGAGCGAGCGTCGAGAATTTTCAGAATTATTTGTGTCTCGCGCTTCTTTTTTAGTTCGTTTTTTTTACATTTTTGTTTCTGTGTCAATATAAATTATATTCATATCAAAATATATAAATATATGTTTCTATAAGTCTGCCTCAAATTCGCTTTAATAATTCCAACAGCCACTGCTGAGTGAGTCAAGTGTTTGTGTGCGTGCTCAAAACTCATTGATGAAATATTTCAAAACAGACACAAAACAATGCAAAACAAAACAAAGCAATCGGGCTCGCGTTGAAATCTTGTTGGGATTAAATGACAAATAGAAACTCAAGAATATTCGAATATTGAAAAACCAAACGATTTTCGCGGCAAAACAAAAGGTAAGTGTTAGCTGATGAGTGCATAAGGCAAATTTGAATAACTGAACAAATCGAAATTGGCTTTATAGATCTAATAGATATAAGAGATAGATAACAATAAAAGAAAATTTAATAAAAATTTTCGAAAATATGTTAGATAATCATGTAACATATGATGAAACTAATTGGGATTAGCCGACGGCTGAATACCTGTTTGTCATTTGAAAATTTATGACATGCAGCGAAACCTCGTTCTATTGAATAGCTCAACAATGACTCAACTGAAAGATTTGCTTGGGTTCGCTATTAAAACGTAGCAGATATGCTGCTCCATGCCCCGCCGCACGGCTGCGTAGGTCCGCACCGTAAAGCTTAACTGACAGGTATCAAATTGCACATTAGGGCCTGGCCCACAAGCTGCCGGACGGACTACGCCGGGCAGGCAGCGTCTATGGTGCAGGCGGCGTCGAGGAGGCTGCGATTCTCCCGAGTCATTAATGGCATAGAACACATGGGAGTCGGGTGTCAGGGCCTAGCTGAAGGGGGGCTTGGGGAAGGACGAGCTCTAGCATATGAGACCGATCCCAATTGTGCTCGACGCACTGCTAATGACAGACGAACATGATCGCATTCCAACTCATTAGAGCGGAGAAGGCTAGCGTGCGGCCTATCTAACGGACACGTGAGGGACTCCAGGTTGCCCGTGCTATTTGAAGCATTCAATCTGGTGAGCTGGTAGGGAACTCTAGGTGCCCTGAGGGCTAGTGGGTGCGATAGTCTATAGACATCTTACGACTGCCCTGGCTCAGCCCTGGCAGGTAAGAAGGTATACTGATTGGCTAATAAGATAACCTAACCTTAGTAGGCCAGCTGTAAGATCATATAGAGGCAATCTTTATATGAAGTATAGCAAAAGCTAAAATATATACACACATATTATCCATAGTAAGTGTGCATATCAAGGATATTGCATATTGTGCAAAGCAAATATACTCTCTTTACGCATAGCAAGCGGGTATATCAGCTATTTGTTTTATATTGCCTTTCAGTTTGCTGTGATTTGCAAAGATTTACTTGAAATCATCATTAAATAATCGAATATAATAAATCATAATGAGATATTCAACCACATAATATTAGTAAATCAAATTGATGCCAGAGATGTTTTCAAGTTTGTGTTTGTTCGCTTGCTGCATCACTCGATGGGTCTCCGATGGAAATCTCATTTGCTTGCTCTGGGCGGGCATAAACGTTTGCCCAAGCTCATTGGAATGTGAATTGCAATGTGTGGCGATAATTGGAGTTACGTGTGTGTTTGGCTTTTAGACTCATGCCTGATTAAAGGTTGAGGGCGGCTGCTCGCAGCCCGAGAGAGTGCAGCCAGCAGGCTGGGCATATTAGTGGCAGCTGCAGGCAACCAGCAACGAGCAACCATCCTCTGCCCCCTGGCCCCTAGCTGGTCAGCTAAAGCGTCTAAATGAGTTCAACTTGTCCGCTGGGACTGCACTTGGCCGGTGCCATGGAAATCGAAAATGTTGCACAATTTGGCCCAAGGGTCTAATTCGATTTTGAAAACTAAAGCCGCCGACGTTGCTCCATTAGGATGGCCCAAAAACGCAGGCAACGCACATTGCATCAATTTATTCATTGTAAAATGGCATTCGGCTCATCGTCGCTGCTGTCGGCCTGTCGGATGTGGACATCGATAATAAATGCATGCGATATGCATTTTATTTTAATTTAATTAAAATGTGTTTATTTATGCACTTAAGTTGCAACAGCAACAACAACAGCAGCAGCAGCAACAGCAGCAGCAACAGCAGCCTAAATGTTTGCATAAATGCATAAATAGTAAAGTGCACATTTAACATGCACGATAATCAAATGCATTTTACAGATTGCCACTGCCCACATTACTAATACTAACGAGCTGCAGCTCAGCTGCAACGAATCACAAATACTCTTCACTCTTTGAATAGGGAAACATAGAAGACAGATCTAGTTTGAGCCGCTTGTGCCTCTACCTTTGCGCTTAGCTCTTGTTTCTATCTAAGCACACGCATAGCTAATACACTTACGCATACTCATTCATACACACACACACACACACAAAGAAGACATTTGAACTTTCAAGAGTATAGATGATTAAGATCGAAATGTACAGTTAGACCCAACTTGATCGATTCAACTTGTCTTTGCTTTACCTTAGTATTTTCAATAACATCGAGCTAAGATCTAAGAGAACTGTGCCAGATGTACAAAGAAATAATGAAAACATATTCCTATATATGTATATATACATATATACATATATATTTACCATAAAATACTTGCCACAGCAACGAAGTAGCTTCTCTTTTACTATTTAAACTTTATACTAATACTAAATACTTCACTTGGGTCCGCAAGTTTTATTGAAAATATAGAATTATAGTGCGTATATTAAGCATGCCCTATACGTTATTTATGAGCAAACAAAATGTATAAGTGTACAAATATATTTTCAAATAGCCAATATATATTATAATGAAATATTTTTTGAACAATTTCATTGAAAATCAACAGCAATGCTATTTGGTAAATATACATAATTGCAGCTTTGGGAGTAATTAAAGAGAACAAGAGCGAGCGAAAGGTCGCTGGCGAAATGCGCTTTGTCAAGCTGGCAGGGCAACAATAACAACAAGACGAAACACAAACATAAATGCAATTTGAAACATATGTAAATATGAATATACATATATGGAGTCAAAATACGAAATAAATATTGAATCACAGCACACACACAGTGCAAGAGTTTGCAATAAGTCTACACACACACACACACACACACACACACACAGGTAAATTCTTTTATTTTTTGTTAAAGCTTCAAACGACAATCAGCTATGTGGCATATTTTTATTTTGGCCAAAAGAAATTGCCCTTGGGATTTGAGTTGAAAGTAATTTTTTATTTTTTGCATTTTATAATTAAATAATATTTATATTTATATTTCATGGAATACTACATATGATATACTATATACTGATATACTGTATCACAATATTCTACGCTGTATCATATAATGTATATGCACTTGGTAATACTAAGCCATATATCATTCTAGAATATAAGTCACCATATCATAGTCTAGATCATACTGTACCACACCATCCCATACTATATATACTACTATACTATACCACAAACTATACTATTCTTTAACATCTGATATAGTATACCATGGTATACGATATGTCTATGCCATTATCAGGTACTTTTACTCTACTGTAACTTACTATAAGATTAGATTCGTTCAAATTTTAAGAAATATAATTACTGCATAGACTACAAAGGTATTCATGGAATCTTTCAACTTTCAAGTACTAAGACATAGCTTGAGCCCAGCTCAGACATTTACCTTATGAGCTCTGTCACACCTCCCCCTGCCATTTAAATGCAAGCTCACAAAAGTCGCATAAAAAATGTGTAATAATAATACTACTTTGTCATTTCTTTCAACACACTTTTCACTACTCAATTGTTACACTGTGCTACATAATTGTCATATTAATACTAGCATTTGTCACGCACATTTTCTTTGTCTTTGCCGGATTTTTACAAATTTATTTTAATTTTATATTTTCATACATCTAAAGTAACACATTTTCGTTTTGAAGATTTTGGTTGTAATGTAACGTTTGTAAATGAAACTAAAATATTTATGACAGCCATTCTGTGGCTGTGTAAACCAAATATAAAGATATGCCAGTGCATATGTGCGCGCGTATGTGTGCACACACACACACACACTTATATATACACACTCTGTCACACACACACACAGGCAAGCTCAGGAGCTTGTTTCATGTGCATGCGGCGCAAATCCCTTTGATTATCCCTGTGCATTCACAAACGAAGCAGCAAAGTCCGCACGCTTTAGTTTAGCAATAAAATTGAACAACAAATATTCATTGCAATAGCTGCAACAACAACAACAACAACAACTACCACAACAACAAGCATTGTAAACAAAATGCAAGTGAACAAATGCAAGCAGCAAAGTGTTTTGTTTTCCTTTTTGTTTGCCTCGTACTGCAGCTAAATAATGCACACACACACACACACACACACACACACACACACACACACACACATACATACACTCGTACATATTCACACTAGTATCACTTGTAGAGTTTCGCTGCTGCTTGAAGTCGGTTTGATTCATTTTTAAGCTCTAACTAAAATGTTTACTCAGATATTTGTAATCGGCCACAGCCGACTGCCCAATACTCGTCCACATTTTAAAGCCAGCTTAGTTAAACTTAATATTAATATTTGTTTTATTTGCTATAGATCCTATATATCCTATAGAGTAAGCAGGTAAAAACTTGTTGAGCCGCGTCTAAAAGCTTTTTTCTCTTCAATAGATATATAATATAATAGTTTTATCCGATAATTTGATCAGCAATAATAAATCGCAGAATTCATGTTAAGTATCGGGCCACCTAGATATGATCGTATAGACTAAACATTCAAAGTACTAATTTACTCCCATTTCACACTGTGATCGAGTATGTGAATGCGACAATGCGAAAGACTAATACTCTTACTTAATAAACCCAAAGTAGATCTTAACATTTAACTTAGACATTGTGAGCCACATTTGGTTCATAATTGAACCAGTTTTGTTTACGGAGGAACCATTATTAGTATGTTACTTATTATTGACCCACATATTTGATATAGTTAAATTATCAAGTGGATGAAGTGTCGAGTTGAGACTCAAGCGAACTAGTTCATTTGCTGATTTGAATAAAAGGTTTAGCCATACATTAGGTATGATTTAATTAACTTGTAGTGGAAGTCAAGATTCCGATGTTCTTTTCACTGATGAACTAGTTCATTTGTTCATTTGAATAATGGTTTTTAACCATACAATAGGTATGATTTAATTAACTTGTAATGGAAGTCTCCGATGTTCTTTTCACTGATAAACTAGTTCATTTGCTCATTTTAGCCACACATTAGATCTG